TACTTGCTTTAAGACAGCTGCAGCCTAAGATATTAGTATGACATAAGTCCTTCTTCCTCTTTTCCTGACCAAGATCATCTCTTTTCAGCCAGGATAAGGGAAGTATATGGCTCTAAATTTGGTTGTAACAATAATCTTTTGCGAAAATCACTCTTAGTGAGAAACTGGAAACTACTGTTGTATACAGTCTAAGAATAATGGCAAGGAACCAGTTGTTATGTGTTTAAAATGACAAAGATGTTATACATGGGCAGCTTAACGTCATAAAGAAACCACTGTGCTCTTTTTCACATCCCACACCACTGTCATCTGTCTGATACTACATCTTCAATGTTTGCAACTTTAAATTGCATACTCCAGAAAAACTTCCCACCTCAAGTAGTTGCCATATGCTCTAACCATGCTACACTGGAGGACCATAAGATGTCCCACAGGAACTTATGTGCTGAGCTGCCTAAAGGCAGAGCAAGTCTGTTTTCAAGGGTCCCTCTGAGGTACCATAATATCAATGCAAGCTCTTTACTTTGAGGAAAAATTATTATATCAGGGCAGGGACCATCTGGCAGAAAGCACAGCAGGATTAATGCAATCCCACACCAAGAGGGAAGATGTTGGTATGGTGTCATCAAAGTCCAGGTACCCTCCTACACCCCACAGGGACTCAAGCACTAAAAGGCAGCAGAGGGAGTCAGAGGAAACATTTTGTACCTACACCCTCTTCACCACACACATCACAAAGCCTTCTCAGTGGAAAAGGTTCAAAGCTGCCATCAGAAGCTCTTACTCTCAGATGGGAGCTGTTCAGAGGAACCCAACCCTTTGAACAGTTTCACTCACGATGCTTTCAGTGTTTGTCTGTGGACATTACCAATTCAGCAACCAACCTGTGGTTTGCAGATGGAGCTGGGGAGGGAGCATCTTATCATAGTGAACTGGCTGTATTGTGGTGGTGGTGCTTTCCTGGCGATCAGAGAGCACCAAGGCTGCCATCCACCCTTTGCAGTGCCTGCTTTTCCAAAGAAAATATGGTGGAGACTTGTGTCAGGCAGCTGGTGCCTCCTGCCAGCTCCTACTTGACCACTTCTATGGCCCTGGCATCTGCAGCTAAAAGCACCGTGTGGGCTTACAGCCTCAACGTTTCACGGTGGCTCCCTGACTCGGGAAGCTGTAATGCCAGGAGGATGGTGGATGACTTCATGCCAGCAGAATCTAATACCTTCTGATCCTATGATCTAGTGCAAAAGGCAGGAGGAGTGGGAAGCCCAGCAGGCACCTGATTGAAGAGGCTGGGGGAGATAAGAGGAGACAGTGTCCTGCTGTGTATTTCCTCCACCTCCATAACCTTCTCATTTTCAAAGAGTTTCCATAGGGCTCTGGCAGCTATTGTTCTCCAGACTTGGTGCATCAGCATCCCCACTACACCGACAGCAATTTGGGATTCACACACCGCCAGCCCTTCTCCTTCTTCCTGTCAGAAAAATGAGCAGCTCATTTGGCTTCAAGAGGAAGTAAAACATGTACAGCTCAGATACCCCTGTGCTAACCGTGTACAGGCCTACATTACATACTCCATAACCAGTGTGGGCTGCCTTGGCACATGCTTATGCTCAGACAGACCCAAATGCATTTACATCAGACCACAAACATGTGTCCATCCTTCCTTCCTCCCAAAAGCGGCCACAGCAGCCAGATCAGACTTTGGCACAACCATTACCTATGTGCAGAGTGAGCAGTTAAATGAGAATTCCTTTATGCCCAATTAACAAGGAGGCTGAAGATTCATATTGGCCATTAAGATAAAAAGGAAGCTAATTTAAAACTGCAGCAAAGTTTAAGGCGTAATGCTGCACAAGCAGGTAGGTAAGATCAGCATAAAAATTGTTCTTGTTTCTGCCTGGCTCTGTAAAATGCACAAGGCTGTGCATTTTTTAAAACCTGCATTTTCTCCCTAAAAAGGATTGAAATAGGTTTAAGCATTACTGTTATTTTCTCAAAAATGACAGAGACATTTCCATGTGAATATTTCCCTTTCAGTCAGATATCCATATTCACCATGTGCGTACATTTGATTTGGGGACTGCAGCTCCCCTGTGGTCTCAGGACTCAAGGTCCATTTTGCGTAGATCTTTCTGCCAAATGGGGTTATTAGTGATAGGAAATACTGGAAGGTCACCCACAGCTTTGATAGAAACAGGAGGGTAGGGGAATATTAGGGAGAAACTGTAGGCTGTAATATCCAACTGTAGTTGGCAAACCTGGGAGTATTTAGATTGTCCGTGCCAGTATTTCACTCCCCTGTTTTCAAATTATTGTCCCAGCCCTAGTGATTAGCCACCTGAATATAGTGAAAAAGGATATTCACTGAAAGGATCTCATTATAAAAAGGCTATTCCTGGCCCTTTTTCCATCACATCATAATCTGTCCACTAATATGGCTTGAGATCTCAGCTGATCAAAAGGTCATAAGATGCTACAGCTAAGTATCATTCTGTCTGTGTTCTGCCAAAGGCATTTTTACTTCATGCGGCAGGAAGATGAATGCAATAGCAAAGCCTTCAAATCTGTTTGTATAATAGATGAAGTCTTTGCTATGTGGCATTTATCTTCCTTCAGGGAGTGACACCTGATAAATAAATCTCCAGTTCCCAGTGAATTTAAATAAAACAAAGGCAAATCATATCCCTGCACACTGTAAATATGTAACTGCAGAGTACATAAGTACAGAGTTCCCACTCTCCCACCATTTTGTTTGCTACAGAAGCTATAAAGTGCTGACCACCCCGAAATTCTATCAAAATCAAGGGACTCAAATCTATGAGAACATTACGAAGAGCATGGTGATAACAGAGGAGGGACTGAAAGATACATCATTCATTTAGACTAATGAAATGGTAAAATACACTTCTATTTTTTTTAAGTTAGCAAAAAGAAAAAAAAAAAAAAAAAACAAAGGAAGGGGCCTTAGTAGTATATCTGTAGGAACAACAGAGTGAAAATGGGGGGAATCTAGTAAATGGGATGATGTGTTTCCCAGTGAATATCCCCAGGGTGGACAACTTTCAAAAATCCCAGGATGAATAAAATACCAAACCTCACCCTGCTGAACACCACCGCGTTGGCCGGCTGGTCCCCGCTGCAGTGCGGTGTGCTGGTGGCAGCAGGTCCACCAGTTCTGCCCTGTGCCCACCCCCGGGTGCCAGCCACCTCCTCCAGCACTGACCACAGCCGCTTCTCTGGCTGTCCCGCGTCCAAGACATTCAACACAGGCAAAACTACAGACCTCTGCCCAAAACAGCAGGGAGAGAGGGTACTGCTGCCAGCAGCCACCTGCCACCTGGAGCCCTCATCTAGCAAGTCTGCGGAGCGGGTTTCTGCGAGCATTACCATTGGAAAAAAACACTGTTTTGCGTCTCCCACACACCTGAAGAGTTGTCACAACCAAATTAAACCCCTCAGCATTTCCCAGACTATCTGCCCGCTCCCTGGCTCCCCAGATGCAGAGCTCTACATCAGGACCAACAGACAGTTTCTTTAACTGCAACTGGCAATCATTTTGCTCCTCTCCATGCTTTCAAAGCTGAGAGCCATCAAAGATTAGCAGAAAAAATGATGACTATTTTTCCCTAAGAAGCAGCACTGGTAATAGGCTTCAGGAAAAATCCTCCTAAATGCAAGTGATAAGCGTAGACTGTGTGAAGGCTGACAGGTCTGATTATAATTATCACTGCAAGGGGACCAGCACTATCCTCCCTTCTGGAAGGCAATGACAATTCCTGGAAGGGAACATGCAAGTGAATTATCATAAACAAAATCATTGTAAGTGGAATTGTCTTTTACTGGGAAATTACATAAGACCCTGATTGGGGGGGGGGGGGACGGGGGACGGCGCTGGTGTGGAGGGGAACTAAAACTTTGAGCACTTATTAAAGTTTATCCCAATAGAAAATGGTACTCAATCATATGCTTAAATTTCATTGACTTCAGGATGATGGGAGTAAAAGAAGGAAGCTGGACACATTAAGCATGAGATGGAGTCATGCATGTAAGAGGTGTTTGGAGATAAAGGATATCTTCTGAAACCATACTTAAAGAACATGCTATGGAACATAAAATGAACAGAGATCCCAGGGAGCATGTTGGTCCAGACTGAGCAAAATATCAAAAACTAAGACAAAACTCTGCAGACTTTTACCAACCTTTCCCCTTTCCTCATATCCTAGCAGGAAGAAAGCCAAACACAACCAATGTTGAGCTCTTCACATTGCATCTATATACTGAGTTCATCAAACTGCATCTATACATTGATTGAAATACCACATTATCTTTTCAGCAGGGTTTTGAGGTAGATATGGTAGGTAGTATTCCTTCAAGATTCATCCCATCCTGCCCTAGGCTTCTTTGTGCTTTCTCTGACACCATTACATTTTTCTTAGGTTGCAGGTTGTTTTGGCATTTGTCATTCTATTTCCATTGGAAACTCAGAAATAGAGAAACTTGGGTAATCTGAAATAAAGGTAACATTAAAGTACTTTTTCTTTCTGAACACAGGGAAATAGATATTATCTTCTTAATAGTAGGCTATAACTGCAGAGGAGATGAAGAGACTCAGAGTCAAAGGCAGTTCTAGGAGTTTCATTCTCATTATATCTCAATGGAGTGAAGCAAATAAATTGTGCAAGGAGACATATGGAAGCTCACTACGCAAATGGCCTATTTAAGGCTCTTACTTCCTAATTAGGTCCTGGTGTCAGGAGGTTGGTAACAATTATTCACACATAGATCATTTGGGTACAATACAAACTATTCTAAAACCCAAACCATCATAATGGCATGCATTAAAAAGAAGCCCCATTTAGCTTGATCTTTTTAGACTCTTTTGGTTAGTGCTTGGAGTATCAGTTATGCTCATCCTAAATTTTGCATCTAACACTGCAATAATGGGTTTGGAAGGGGAAAATGAGGAAACAAAAATCTTCACAGCCACAGCCCCTTGTTCTTACCTTGTTCACAGATTTCGTCACTGGACTCTGCACAGGGAACCCACACTCTCTTCCCAAATTCTTCATCTGACTCTGTGGTATTTCCCAGAGCAAAGAGAAAAGAGAAAACCTTGATTGTGGGAATGACAGTGCAGAAAACGGTCACAAGCATCCAAAATTTCACTCTGCCCTTTTCCATTTCCTTACATCTTTCTGTGTGACCACCACCACCTGACAGCCTGGGCCCCCTGAGTACCCAGTGCTGGGGCTCACACTCAGCCCTGCTCAGTTTTGGAAGATCCCCCAAGCTTCTCCTTAACCCACACAGACGCGTAGGTTTCTCCTCCCAAGTAGCCCTGGTAAGCGTATCGGCATCACGGGGCCACCACGGCTGTCCCCAGCAGCCGCAGGGCACGCGGTGAGCCGTGATGACAGGGAGTGGTGCCATGGATTCCTACGACAACCCATGTCGGAAAGGCTTGGGAAGAGCAGGAAGGTGTCACAGGATGCCAACCCGCCTGCCCTGTGTAAGAGTTAAAGCAGGGAGCTGAAGCCAAGGATTACCACATTGCAAAACCATTTAAAACAGGGTAAGTGCTAGTGATTCAACATCATGACTGCCGCAAACCCGATCTGCCCTGTGCTTCTGCACTTCTGTATGAAAATGAGATCTTTCTATCCCCTTCTTCCCCTCCCACCTCCTCTCCTCTCTTTGTCCACCTCTCCAGCCCTTCACACAAAGGTGAAATATTTTACATTTTCACCTGTGGTGATGCAGATCAGAGAGTGTTTGCTTTGCTTTGCTTTTCACTGATTTTGCCCAAGGCATCCTTTTAAGCGGCAGCCTGTGCAAAGATAATAGGTGGCACCATTCTTTGTAACTGGAATCAGCAACAAATCAGCCATCTGCCACTCCAGGGGTCTGAGATTAACCCAGCTACTGGACCGTGACTGCAAAGCATTTGCACATTTAGATTACAGAAATGTGAGGTTGCCGGTCCAAAAAAATAAAAGGTTGGGAGTGGGGAAGGTGTGGGGTGGAAGATAGCCTTGGAAAAGTCCTCCAGATTAACCCTTCCAGACACAAGTCGTATCATAACAACGACAAGCAGACAACATTTCTCATTATAAAGTGTTAAAAGGATGAAGGTTTCGAATGAAGCAACTTGAGATTCATGTGACATCATATTTCAGCAAAATACATCCAAAGACACATCTTTGACACAGGGAGAAATAAAGACAAAGACATTCAGCTGCCTTGTCAATGTCTTGCGATGCTCCTTGGTAAGTATGTCCAAGATGCTCAGATGGCTTATTTAAACCACCTGGAAAGTACAAGAGTAACGTTTTTGTCCCTAGATGGACAAGATCCATTACACAATCTCCTTTACTTCAGAGCATTGTCAAGACAGCAAGGAAATTAAAGAGGTCTGCATTCTGAAATACCAAGTTTTTAGGAAGGTCTCTTCATGTACTGTCCTCAGTTTACATCCCTGAATAACAAATGTCCCACTGCTACTTTGCGTATATGGATGCTGGTGGTACCTGTTAATATTTGCCTGTATCTTTGGGATCCTCTCTATAAATCTGTTGGGAATTATTATTTGGTAACTGAAGTATTAAGAGGTTTAAATCAGTAGTAAACACAAGCTGGCTCCACATCTAAAAGCATGAGCCATGCTCTGTGCAGGTGCATGGTGGGTTAGTACAGCTGCCTGGGTCTCCTCTGTTCACTTTGATGTGGGATTTAATCCCTACTCCTGGCATTTGCTTTTGTAGGTTGGAATCCCATGGTCAGGGATCTCAGGTTAGAAGGAGGAGGTTGTGCCTAGAGAAAGAGGTGCAGCTGCATCCAAAAAGTATCAGCAAGGACTTCTGGGAAATTGAGGCAAGGTCTGCGTGTTATGTGCTGCTCTGAGGATAGTAGCTTACATACACAACTCATGTCATTAACTCCAAAGAGGCAACAGAAAAGCAAACAGCAAGCGCATGTATGCATACAAACCCGTGTATTTTTCTGTATGTACTTTTTTCGTGAAGAACAGGTAGGATCAGGTGGAAGGTACAATGGCACAGAGATTACTCCAAGTTACTTGGCCAACACTCTTGTTGACATTTGCCAAGGTTTCTTCACTCTCTCCAAGGTTTCCTGGGTCAAGTACTACATACCCCTCACATGCAACAAAAGAACAATCCTAAACCAAGCTGTGGCAGCTACATGGTTCAAGGCACCACTCAGAGCTGAGGAAGAGCAAGGGAACAGTCACTGCAGACATTCTCCTCCATACAAATCCTGCTAGTGTCACATCAGAAATGAGTGCACCTCCCAGCAGCATTAATTTGGGACTGAGCTCTTGATCCTCTGAAGAGGAAGGACTATTGATCTGTAAGGAGCTATGAGAACAAGAGAGTGAGGAAAGCAGGCTGGGTAACACCTTAAGTGTCCCTAAATTCCCCACTATTTATCACAGTATTTCCAAAAGGTATTTCTAGGGCAGAATTAGGTGCTCCAAAATCAGGTCTACGTGTCTGAAACCAAAGGTGAGGTTTGAATTGGTTTGTATATATACTAGGGCATGGTTTTCAGTTGAGAGAGAGGTCACAGGGATCACCCCACGCCTGGGACTACAAACTGGGCCAAGCTAACAACCCAACAACCCACAAACTTCTGAGATGCAGCAAGTTAATGAGCCTCTGCCCATGCTTTAGAAAGGTCTCCTTGAACCTGACCTGCTGGCTGTGTCAGTGCTAAAACTGCTGTCAAAACAGGATCTGGACCCATTTTCAAACCCAAAGGCAGGAGTTTTCTCATTCTCCAGTCTCTAATTTCTGTCAAGCCAACTTAAAACTTCAGATCCAAATTAGAGAATGATCCAGAAAGGAGTATGTGTGTGGTGGTGGGAAAATATTTGCAGCCAGCTTCAACTATTGAACTACTACAAGAATGCTTGTCCTGGTTATAATTTTTAAAAAGTGTTAAAAAATATCAAAACCCCTTTAAAAAAAAAAAAAAAAAAAGGTACTTTGATGTACCTTTTCCTAGCCTGTGAATGGAGGGAAAAGGGGACCGACACAGGGCAAAGCCTTTTATTTCAGACAAAAATCACAGCAAAACTCTAGCCGATTCCTTGCAAAATAATCAACCCTGTGAATTGCTGTTGAAGTTTCAGCCCTATATGATTTTTTTTGTTTGTTTGTTTTATCCAGGCAGCCTTTGCAGGAAGGGGCTTTTGTAACCAAAGCACCAACACTGCATTAACCAGGCACTCAGCTGAGCCGTAAAGCTGCCTGGAAGTTGCCTCGTCCCCCAGCAAATGAGAAGCGGAGGGTAACACCGACGCAGGTGACGCTGCACCTTGCAGAGATTCGCATGTCCTACAAGTAACCTTGCATCAGGATACAGAGCCTCGAGAGCAGCCTTATGGGTACGGAGAGAGGAGGAGGACAGCGAGGAGGAAGGGAAGGAGTGGCAACAGGAAAACAATCAGAAAACTCTCTGGGAATCAAGCCTTCCCTTCCTCCTCAGGAAGAAATTATAAAAAATAAAAATCCCTCCCCAATACGGAGAGGGTGAGCACACTTGCCCCTACTCTGCTTATAATCTTTTCCAGCGAGAATCATAACAGACACACACGGGCTAGAGACTGGCTACAAGCAGAGCATTTCTGCAGGCGCCTGCCACACCGCACCAGCCCTGGGGTGCAAGGTGCTGTCCCCCTTCTGCCCCCTCTCTACCCCAAATCCCCATCAAGGGGCCCCTCTCTCTCCCAGAACCCCTAAATACGACCGAGGCCAGATGGGGGACAAAAGGGCCACATTTAAAAGGCAAAGAGGACGCAGGGAGGAGGGAGAACACCCCTGAGCCCGGCCGGCGGCCCCGCGGCCGCATCCATTCTCATTCCCAGCACGTTTCGCTGCTCTCCAGCGCAGCCCAGCTTCGAAATATTAGTGCGGCGCAGAGTGCCATTTTCGAGTTGCTGCTGCAGCGCTCCTTCTTGGCATCGGTTCAGCTTTTTGTCTTGCCTTCTCCTCCGAGCGCCCAGCGGAGGGAGGGGGGAAAGAAAAGAAGAAAATAAAGCCCCGTCGCTCCACCGCTGGGGCCGTCGGCCTCCCCGCGGCACCCCCCCCTCCCTCGCCTGCGGCACCCTGCACCCTCCCAGCCCGCTCCCAACCAAACCACTCGGCAAGCATAAATCTCTTCCCACCTCCACAGCAGCCAGTTCACAGCCTCCTTCCCCCACACCCCTCCGCCACCCCTTTTCATCACTCTCTCCTTTGTACTCCTCTAAATTTTTCCAGCCAAGCGTTACAACCTTCCACCCGCCACCCCCCCACCACCCCCTTTCTCCTCCATCCCCAGCCCTCCCACCTCCTCCCCACACATCGGCAAAAAAAAATCGTGCCATGGTTGCCAATGCACTGGCATCTCCTCGGAGAGGAGAGCCACTGCACCCACAGCACGCCTGGCAGGTCCAATCCTGCTCACAGCTGCCCAAACGCAGGCGAGCCGCAGTGCTCACGGGTGCACACACGTGTGCACACACACATGTCACAGGACAGGTTATACCCTGTTTGCACCCCTTGGCATTGCTGTAAATACAAACTTCCTGCAAGCATGCATGTGGCAACTGAATTCCTCCTCCTGCTTGTGGGGCTGAGAGCAAAACAGAAGCGGAATAACGAGGGAAGGAGGGAGGGAGGGAGGGAGGGAGGGAGGGAGGGAGGGAGGGAGGGAGGGAGGGAGGGAGGGAGGGAGGGAGCGTGTATTTTTTTAAGCAACCCAAACATGGCACTGAGCGCTTCCACCAACAACTTCTCAGCCTGCTGTGCTGGCAATCAGCTGCTGGTTCCAGCCTGGCACTAGGTTTGATTTGTTTTTCTCTCCTTTTAAAAGCCGTCCTCCCAAATATTTATTCTTTTTTTTTTTTTTTTTTCTTTTTTTTTTTTTTTTAGCTTTTTCTTCCCTTTTTTTTTTTTTAGCTTTTTCTTCCCTTTTTCTCTCTTCACTTGTCCATAGAGGGACTCCCTCCCACTCCCACCCACAAATCCAAAGCAGCATGTATAGGAAGAGCACCAAAGGGAGTGAAATGTGA